GAGCACGCTCCGGCATGCTCCGGCCCCACACTCTGGCCGTCGGGTCACCGGGCCCCTCTGGACACTCGCGAATCGTCACCCACGGATAGACGAGCGCGTTCCACTACTCGCAAAATGACTACTCGCAAATGGCCTGGATCCGCTGGGGAGGATCTACGAGAAATTACATCGAAGCAGACATGTGCTTTTCGGGCGTTTGCGAGTAGGCACTTCGCGAGTAGTGGAACGCGGTCGGCGAAGGGACGTAACCAGCCGGCCCAAGATGTGTGACACGACGCGCATGGGCTTTTGCTTGCCGTGGGCCCAGGGCTCCCACAGCAAGGACTACCGCAGCTTAAGCTCCTCCAGTCGATGTCATCGGGGCTGGCATGGCAGCGCAGGGCTGCCCGTGGTCTGCCCCCGGGCCTTGCAGGAGGCCCCTCGTCTGCTGCGCTTGCGCGCCCCAAGATGTTTGGCCGAATCCAGGGTGACCAAATCCAGTTCGGACCTGCGCTTGGCAACACTCCGCTGGACGTCACAGGGGCGCACTTCGGTTACACGTAAGAGTGACCCTGGGTAAGAGTGACCTTTGGTGCGCGGCTGTGGGGGGGCCGCGGGAGGCCAACTCCAGGCGCGCTATCCGCTGCTGGCGCTGCGCGTTCAGCCATCTGGGGGCCCATCTGTGCCCGCACCAAAGGTCACTCCGGCGAAAGGTCACTCTTACGTCTAGTCAACCGCCGCACATGCAGGCGTGACAGCACGCCCGGGGAGAGCGGGGTCCGGCTTCGGTCCACGCAAGGCCGCACTCCGCTGGACCCCCCCGGGTTACAGGAAAGCCGCGACAGGGCACGCTCGGCAGCACCCAGGGAGGGCCTGGGTGCAGCCATGGTGCTGCCTTGAGGAACAGTGGACAACTGGCCATCGCTCGGACGTCCATTCCCTGTGTTTTTTTCCGGTTTCGTGCGTGGCTTTTTCGCAGGATGATCCAGGATGCCCCTTAATAATCCCCGCCGAGAAAAAATGCACACGTCCGAGCGATAACATGGTGCTGCCTTGAGGAACAGTGGACAAAGAACGAAGGGGCTTTTCCCGCCACGGCTAGCCTCGGCCACGAAGAGGTTCCCCGACGTGGATATTGGGCACGGCCCGAAAGCCAGAGTCCCTCCTGAGCCCTCAGTAGGTCCCTTTCTGCAGCGTCTTGGCGGTACGACCACACTCCGCTGGACCCCACAAAGGCAGGAGAGCCAAGAATCAAACCGATAAGTCGGATCGGCGATCGACATGACTCGGATCGGTGGAAATCGGCAGCCGAGTCGGGCAAAACCAAATCGGCGAACATCGGCGGGCTTGTATGCCTCCAGTGAGAATTCGGAACATAGACCGGAATCTCAAAGCGAATCGAATCGGAATCGGAAGCCATGAAAGTCGGATCGAATCGAATCGGAGAAACCGAAGCGAGCCCTGCGGGGGGGCGCAGGAGAGTGGCGCCAGTGGCACGCCGTCAGCGCGCAGGCCAGGGCGAACACGGGCAGCAGGGAGGGCAGGAGAGGGGCAGGAGGCGCGGAGACGGACGGGCAAGGAAGGAAGCAGGAGGCGGACTGGGAAGAAGGAGAGGACGAGAAGGAAGAACCCACATTGGCGGCGCGCAGGGGGGGGTAGGGGGAGGGGGGAAAGCTTCTTAGAAGCAAGTCGTTCCTTAAAGTCGCCGGTCCTACGTCTAAGAAGCAGTCTAAGAAGCAGTGTGCTTCTAAGAAGCCTTCCCCACTCCCCCTACCCCTGCGCGTGGCCGAAGACTGCCATACTCAGAACGAGGAACGATAGGTGGCGCCATCCGAACTCTATCCCCACTAACAATAGTTCCCCCTTTCTCGATGGGAGGCGAGGGTCGGGTTCGAATCTCGCCGCCGAAACAAGGACCCAACAAGGAGGGCTGGGAATACACGGCAGCGGCCGGAGACAGCAGCGCTGCAAGGATCAGTGTGAGATAATGCCACCGAGAAGGCCAATGCGACGAGAGGGCCCGCCGGTGGCCAAGAAACCGACGTACGCGCGAATCCAAGGGTGTTCCGCATCCTTCGGCAAGTCCCATCGTACTTAAACCCCCTCTGGCCTGCGGGCCGCAGCCCCTGAACCCAGACTGCAAGGCAAACAAGCCTTCGATGACCGCTACTGGCCGCCCTCGCGGGGCAGCGCGTGCAAGGCTACGGCGCTACAGTGCAGATAGGAGGAGGAGGAGGAGGAGGAGGAGGAGGAGGAGGAAGAGGAGGAGGAGGAGGAGGAGGAGGAGGAGGAGGGGGAGGAGGAGCAGGAGGAGGAGGAGAGGAGGAGGAGGAGAAGGAGGGGAGAAGGAGACAAAGAGGAGGAGGAGGAGGAGGAGGAGGAGGAGGAGGAGGCGAGGAGCAGGAGGAGCAGGAGGAGGGAGGAAGAAGGAGGGGAAGGAGGAGGAGACAAGGAGGAGAAGGAAGAGGAGGAGGAGGAGGAGGAGAGGGGAGCAGGAGGAGGAGGAGGAGGAGAAGGAGGA